CAACCAATCGGAGAGAGGGTTAACCGGCTCCGCCCAAGAACCAATCAGAAAGGGAGACCTTACTTCCCGCGCTAGTATTCAACAGGTACCAGACTGCCACAACTCCAGATATCTACCTTGCCCCCATATCTGTATCAACAAGTACATACCAGAGTTGCCTTCACATGCTTCTCCTCCATAATATCTACCATCACACACACACACACACACACACACACACACACACACACCATATTTGTGTGTGTGTGTGAATCCACATACAGTGAATTCAACAAATAATGAAAATAACTGAAAATTGGAGGAAGCAAAGCATAGAAAGAAACAAGTTCCCTTGTCTCTTTTCTGCCTCTCTATCTCTTTCCTCTTCACATCACTCTTTTAATTTTTCCAGTGATCGTTTTATCACTAAGTATTTCTTTTGATAAAATGGGAAATGAGTGTTGTATTAGAACAAACAGCTTTTCACCAATCTCTAATGCCTATATTCTGTGATTCACGTGCTGTACTTTTCTATGTGTGAATGTAAAAATGTATTATATGTTTTAAAAGATTGCAAAGGGAGTAAAAGGGAGCCATATCAGAAACTCTCCCTTCTTTTATATTTATGCTTTTGTTCATGAACTTAATAATGTTGACTTCCAATATCTCTGTCTCTGTCTCTGTCTCTGTCTCTGTATCTTTCTGTGTGTGTCTATGTCTGTGTATGATGTAAACTACTTACAAAGGGGCCTCTTGTTTTGAATATTTCTTTTACTGTATCCTAGGCTATGCCCATTGAACCTGAAATCAACTGGTCTCACAGGATTCTAATGAAAGTGGGCATCCCTAATTTACTCTATGATGACGTTCCTGACATTCCCTTGGATAACTACACCTGTCATTTTAAAGCAAACAAGTTACCCTCGTAAGATTTTGACATGAGTTTTCTTTCTTTGATCTTTCCTCTTTTCAAATTATACTGATTTTTCCTAGCTTACAGTTATTATCTCCTATTTCATTATAATTAGGTTACAATAGAATAGAATAGAATAACAGAGTTGGAAGGGCCACTAACTAGTGGTCTTCTAGTTAGTCCAACCCCCTGCTTAGTCAGGAAACCCTATATCATTTCAGACAAATGGTTATACAATAGTAACATTGCCTAACTGTAATATTTGCTCTTTGCTCTTTTCTAAAAAAAAAAAAAAAAAAAAAAGATTGCTGAGCATCAGTCTAGTGATATAAAGAAAAATCAACCTGTCTCTTGCAAATATGTTTATCAGAAAAACCTGCATTTCATGCTTCATCTTTTTTCAGACCTCGGCAGCATTCTGCAAAGACTACGGATTTTTCAGATACATCACTGCTAAAATCTCCACAATTTGTACAATAATGATTAATATTACAGTATAGTACTTTTTAAGTAAATAACTTGGGCTGATTTCTATAATATACAGTGATCTTGATTTAGCAGATTATACATACAATTCTATACAGGACTTTTCCCCTTTCCATAAATGTATCTCTCCCTTCTTCCATCCTGATTTTTATAGGTGCTCATGATCACAAACTTATTCATGGACAGATTCAGTACTTTTACTTCTCTGACTTGCTTTTAATCTAGAGAGGAGAAGGGAAAGAAAGAAAATTAACTTTTTACTGCTTGGAATTCTAGGCACCTTTGTATTTTTCCCAAGTGACATCTGGCTTGTCCCTCTCAAATGCTGCTCCAACAAGTCTGTCCTACAGATCACAGTTTTTAATCTTGCGGGGACTCCTTAGCTGAGTCCTCTTCCAATGTGCCTGTGTCCCACCAGTCCATGAAGTTCAAACAGAACATTAGCAATGTGCAATGATCTTTTCCATTGTTTAAAACAAAAATGCTTTTTACATGATTTCACCAAAGGCAGATGTGTCTGTTCTTGGGGTTTTCATTAGGCAGGAGACTTCTAAATGTCTGCATGGATGCCTACACTTTATATGGATGGAGTAAATAAATATAGTCCCTTACCCTTGAGATCAGGTAGCAACAATAAATGTTGTAGAGAAGAAGACTCTGTGGCTTCATGCATGCCTGTACCACTAACTTAATAGTAATTCCCAGAACTCTTGAATGCTTTCTTGACATAGTAGAGAATTATAAAAAATTTCTAGTATTCTCCCTACTATGTATATTGGCTTCCAGAGCTCAGCACTTTCCTAGCTGTGCCAGAAATATCCAAGCAACATCCATAGCAGCCTGATTAGCACATTACCTAAATATGGTTTGTTTGCTTATCACTTAGCACGAGGTATGAACCTATCGCATTAAAGTTTTTTTATTTTTTGCAGTAAACTGTATTGTAGAACCACGGGTTAGAGGTTTATGAAATTACCATGATTTAACCAACCAAAAACATTGTTTTTTGAACCAATCCAGACCATGAATTTTCCTAGTTTATTTCTGTTCTCAGAAATGTGAGTATTGGAAGAAAAAAATGGAGAGGAAACAGAGTATTATATTCATCAGTAAGACTAGGATCAAACTTTGTAGCAAGCAATAAGGCAATAGGTTTTGAACAAGTGCAACATGTGAAAAATTCAGCCATTTATAGTTGCACATAGCTTTATTGTTTAACATTAGGTGTAGTGACATTAACCCCAGTTAAGACAAAAACTGGCTTCATGTTAGGTGTTGATAGAACCAGTAAGTGGGTATATGGGACTAATAACTAGGATATCACAGTCACAGTCTCTCTTTTATATAGCTTCTGTTTTATGTCTGGTAATTTATCAGTGATTTTCCCTCCCCAGGTTCCGTGGAAGTGATAACCATGAGACCTTCTTCAGTAGTACACAACGGCATAGAATAGTAAGCTTGGAGTGAAACAAATGCAGGGTGACATGTACTTATATGCGTAGCTAATCATAATGCTGCACGTTAATGTTAAGTATAATTGAGGGCTACTGTTGCTGTTAACTGTGGAAATCAAAGTATGGCTTCCTTTAACTCTTCTTTGCTTTTCTTCAGCTATATGAGATCCTGTCCACTGTATCATATGGTAATCCAAAGGCAGGGCAGATTGGAATAGAAAGGTTGCTGAATGACGAAGTCTTCACAGCTGCATTTCCACTACATGACGTAAGTTTGCAAGCATCGGTCCCAGTCCTCTCTCAGATAGGAGACAGCACTTGTATTGAAGGTGGCTTTTGAGAAGTCTGACATAAGTTGTTAGCATCTAGTTAATTTCCAAACTAACACAATAGTTTTAAGTGTTAGTGACTTTGGACAGTTTTGTATGTTCAGTTTAATGAGACAAAGTCTGTGGGTGCTGAAGAGTAATGGCATATTTTTGGGGCTTGGCGTATCAAACATTCAGAAAATGACTTACTTTATTCTGCTGGTGTGTCATTCCCTACCTCCCAAGTAAAAGGGAAACTAGTCTGTGTTCCCCTCTCCCAATCTAGGCTACACTGAAAAATGACACTCAGTAAAAGCCCCAAGCCTGGGCCTGAAGTAGAGGCCGGGCCCTGACGTCAGCCCTAGCACTATCCTTGCCACTCAAAATGACTGTCTTGCACTAGTCCCCAATGTGTATGAACCTTAGGGAATGGCACAATTGCCCCACAGCCTGCCACTCTCCAGAATCTACCTTGTGCCACTTACCTTCAGGCAGTATTCTCTTTCTAGTGACAAGCCCCCGTGGCCTATCCAAGGTTGCTCTACTTTCCACAAGGCCTTTGTTCTTGAAGCAACTTCAGAAAAACTTCTTCTGCAGCCAGGGCCGGATTTAGATGAAAAGAGGCCCTAGGCTATTCCACTTATGAGGCCCTTTCACCTCCCATTTTTAAGTTTGTAAATTGCATGAGAGACAATAAAATACAACATTACTGTGATATATATCAATATATATCAATATATATCAATATATATCAATATATATCAATATATATCAATATATATCAATATATATCAATATATATCAATATATATAGCTGGC